GTCAAATGAGGCAGAGAACCATTTTACAATACACTTAAATCTTTTGAATGTGAGCATTGAATACGCTCATAAACTTCTTGCTTGAGCAGACCGCACAAGGTCTGGAGAAAGAATTTTATGAACGTGGTTGGAAATATTAGCTGCTTAACTTCTAAATGAAGGCAACGGCCGCCACTTTGTGTAACTGTCGAAAACTCTTAACAAGTGAGACATAATATTAAATATGAAAACCGCAAAAGTCTGAGCGAAGAGAACGGAATTCATATGCAGGAAATTTCTAGGCTTTTCAAGCAAGTTACTTATTAGCGGAGGTGTGTAATAGAAAAAGACTTGTAAACTTCAAATTAATGTCCTGCCAAAATTCTTGAGATGGTAAGGAGAAAATGTCGAAAGTAATTATTGAAATATTCCCAAGATTGATTAAACAAAGGGTAAGATCAAGTATAAGTTTGTACGCTTGTTGAACGCAGGGCTCGGAAGTTTAATTAGAAGTCTTTGTTTCCTTATCACAGCGCTGCTGCCTGCTAAAGTTGTGGTCTCAAGTTTCGTGTTGTAAAAAAAAGTTAGCCACATTCATTACAAACAAAATATTGATTGAACTTCTGGGTCACAAATGGCATATCACACTTTTCATATTACTGAAAGTATTCTAAAGCGATATAGAGCAGATAGGATAGAAATCGTAAGTTCAGTTATGTATCCTTTGATAAACAACCACAAATAAAACTAAAAGAATCATTCAAGGGCTTTATATCGGCATTTCCAATGATAGATGTCGGCAAAAAATTTGTTTGGTTATGACATTTAATATTGTAAAGCATATATTAGCTAGAGAAAAGTTTTCAAATAGAAACGCTAGAATTGCAAATAGTCACAGGTGAAGAAGAAAAGAAGATTCGCAAGATCCGATTCTGAATCACAAAAGGTGAGCAAATATTTTCGGGGAAAAGTCATTCTGCAATGCCTTTGCTTCTTCTATCTTCTTTCAGATGCGCGAAAGCTATCATTTGGACGATGTAAATGAGCCCTGCTCTTAAATTTGTTTAAACAAAGGCTGGCTTTTCAAGAGCTTACTTTTAAGAAACAAACATGGTCCATTTTCATTTTACTGCGCAGAAAACCAAAGTTCACTGAAATCAATACATTCTTATCAACAACAAAGGAAGCGCTGAAGGTTATGCCTATCACTATGGTGTGATTTTTCTCCCTGTGGCTTATGGTCGCTATCTTAATGTAGAAGGAGATACTTTACTTTAGGGTATTTGTGCTAATGAAAACCACATTGAGCCGCAATATCACAGAAAAAGGGCAAGGAACCGACCAGAGAGTGCAGCACGAGGATGGCGTGCGGCTCGGGAAAGCATCGCCGAAGTGCTGGACAGCTGTGGGCGGGCACCTCAATGCCCCCCTCGACCATCGCATGGCCCCTCCTGCTCTCGGCTCCCACACGAAACATATGTGGTCAAAAATCCATGTGAACGCCTGCAGCAGACACATTTCGGCTCCACCTGGTAAAGTGCGAAGTCGGCAGGATTTATTTCTTTGTTTTTCAATCAAAGTATGATGCTCTTCGTATAAGCTGAAAACAGAAGTAAAATTTTTGAAAGACGGCTTCGAAATAGGCTATTCCTAATGAAATGCACACCAGATACATCCGCGGTGACTTATGTCTTAATTGCATTCTGGACAGGCACTTCTGGACGTCGCACAAAAAGAGTCGCCCCGCCAATTTTAACATACACAATTGTAACTTGTAACTGTAACTTTGCGAAGCTTATTTTATCCAAAATTTATGTGAAGTATGCAAGCCCTTGCCGTGCCATTTGATTTCAGATGAATCATCAGACCAATGATTGATGGATCGCGTAGAAAATTCCTAGCAGAAAAAAACTTCACAAATTCCTCCAGAATATCTGTCGCAGCTATGAGAATCATTGAAAGCACCGTTTTGAG